CCACCCACCCTGCTTTCTCACGGCAAGAACCGCCACCATTACCCTGCTTTTGCCCCCTCGTCAGCTCCTCCATTATACCAGCCCACCAGTCCCACATTGCACCACCTCGAATGACTCGGTCTGGCCATCTCCAGGGGCAACCTGCACCCACAACCCCCCCCCCGAATGACACAATCTGACAGGAAGCAAGGAGGAAGCCGGGGGAGGGCTGGAAACAAACGGGAGAACAGGGTGGCGAGAGAGGAAGAAGAAAGCTGTGTGCAGCATGACTGAGTGCTGAGAGAGACATTAAGTTCGCAGGAAGGATCTGGAATGATTCACCCGCCCGCCTCCAGCAGCGGCCATGTCTGATTAGCTGTTAGCCGCCGAGGGCAAAACTTTTAATAAAGTGACAAAAGCCATAAGTTACTAAACTTTGGTTGTGAGCTTCAGCTGCATTTAGATTTGTGTGTGTATGTGTGTGTGTGTTTGTGTGTGTGTGTTTGTGTGTGTGTGTGTGTGTGTGTGTTTGTGTTTGTGTTTGTGTTTGTGTGTGTGTTGTCGTCCGTGCACCACAAGCTGATTAGGCAGAATGGCTGCGAGTTATAACGGCTTATACCTCAGACAGGGTGACAACAACACGACAGCGAACACAGCACCGGTCGCCTCTCATTATTCACTTCGAGTCGCATTTCACACGAGCTGCTGGAAACTTCACTGCTGCTGCTGCGGAAACGCGTCACCCTCTGAAGTTACAGACACACTGCGCAGCATCCACAGTGACCTGCATGACCTGCTGCCCCCCCCCACCCCCACCTAACTGAGACCCAGCCCCACCATCAAGCACTGACAAACCACAGCAAATTGGAAGAGTTCATATCTAAAAACACACCTGCAGCCTTTACACACGTCACAGGAGCCGGTCGCACAGAACACCTTACATTTTCTACTTAAGTCTGACACTTAGGGTTTAATTTCTCCTTAGCTGAGGGAGTTACTTAAGAGTGTTGCACCGAATCTCTTAAAAATGTTTCCTTAGTTAAGGAAAAACGTTGAGGCACGTGCAGCAGTGAAAGAGATTTCACAGAAAGAAATACTTTTGTGCCACAGTTTAACTGACTTTAAGTGATTCCTTAAGTGTGAGACTCAGATAACGACAACACCTTATATACTTAGGTGAACATTTTAAGGAAATCTTAAGGATGAAACTTAAGGGTGTTTTGTGTCCCAAGTGTCTAAGAGAGAATTCAGAAATGTGTCCCTAAACGAGGAGTAAAGACTAAAGTTATTGCTCAGCTTGTTTCCAGGGGCCAGTCATCGCACAAACCACCGTAAGTTTTCTACTTAAGTGTGACACTTAAGGTTTTATTTCTCATTAGCTGAGGGATTTACTTAAGGGTGTTGCACAGAATCAAAGATTTCCTTATAGTTAAAGAAAAAAGTTGAGACACGTGCAGCAGTGAAAGAGATTTTAGAGAAAGACATAAAATACTAAAAGACTATAAGGTCTTTTGTGCCACAGTTTAACTGAGACTCAAATAAGCAGAAAACCCTAAGTAGGTAAACATGTTAAGGAAATCTTAAGGATGAAACTTAAGGGTTTTTTGTGTCCTTTTATTACTATTATTTCTAAACGAGGAGTAAAGACTAAAGTTATTTCTCAGCTTGATTCCAGGTCTGAAAAGACAAAAACCTGAAAGTATGTTGTTTTAACAGAGTGAGAATTAGACATCTTAAGATTTGGAAAATCTCCTCCAGGACTTCCTTCCTTTCCTGTTCCAGCAGAACGGACCATTACACCCGTCTCTTGTCTGGCCGTTAAACAACCCCAGCTCATTCAGAGCGCTGCTGCTCTCCTGGTTCAGACAAAAACCCCTCTCCTTAAATCTTTACAAGAAGCTTCCAGTAACAGGTTTTGTCTGCAAATCAATGTGCGGCTGTACGTAGACGCATTTACAGTCGATATTTTTTTAAAGGGTCTGACCTATTTCTTCCAGACAGACGATCTTCACCTCATCACAGCTACAATCAGCCTTTACATTGAGGATCGTGCACGAGCTTAAATAAAATAAATGCAAAAACAAAAAACAAAAAACCTCTTCAAACAACCACAACTTCAAGTTTATCAGCTGGATGTTAAATCTGCCTTTAAAGGCGAATGTTCACTTTAGGAATCACTATTTCTTTCTTCTTTTAATTCATGAACGCACACGTAACTTCTTCCTAAAAACCTTCCCTCTGTTTTTATTTTAATTTCCCAGAATTCCACAGGTGTATTTCCAAAGAACAGATCTTCCCTTAATGTTCCTCCTAGGACACAGTTTATTAGTGGTGGCTGAGAAACAGCAATAAGGCTTTATGGTATTTTGTTTTTATGTCACATTGTAATTGTACTAACAGTCTAACGTGTTTCATCATGACCTGACTGACCGTGAGCTCGTTTACCTCCGTTATTATGTCATCAAAACCTTCCTATTCACACTCATTGTTTTAATGTGATGCTCAAGACGTTCTCAGAAAATCTTTTCTGCAGAACCAGTCGTCGTTCACAACCAGTTCCCACGTGCTTCAGTGGAACAGCAACTAAGAACATTTAACTAAGTCCTGCACTAACTTACAGTTTTGAGGTACGTGGTTATTTTAAGTTAACCTCACGTCGGAGGGAAATCTACAACACGCTCAGACACCTGGACAATTCAAGACGATGATCTCAAACTTTTTCACCTCAGTGAAACTGAGTATTGTCTTCTTTTAATTTCTAACTCTGCTAATGAGAGAAATTTAATTGATCTTAAAGGCTTAAATAAATAAATGAGAAATGAAAAATATCATACTTTTTTTATCTGAAACCTGTAGATATTGTGTAGAACAACTTAAAAATATGATGCATTATTATAACTTAACTCACCCACAGCAGTTAAATCAGCTCCATCTTGATGAGCTACAACATTAAAATGCTGCTTACACACTGATGCACTATTAATAAAAACCCAGTGCAATAATATAAATGTTTATTTAACAATATAAAACTCTGAAAGGAGCCTTTCTGCACAATGTGCACTTTAACTTTTCACCCATCTGAACATTCTTCTGTACTTTTACTTTGAATCCAGGACTTTTACACTCATTGAAATGTATTAGTATTAGTACATACATTATATTGAAATGTATTAGTACATACATCATATTTTACATGGTGGTATCACCACTTTGACTTGTGTGAAGGATCCCAGTGTTGCTCTCTGCTGTGGAAACATGCAGTGATGCTGCAGCAGGTGACAACTGATGCTGTTACTTTATATATAAACGCGCAGCCTCAATATCACGTATTTCTTTTTATGTATGAATCATAAATTGAAACCATTAACATGGCAGACGATGCAAAATCAATAAACGTTGATCAAAGTAAAGGCAGGTTATTGATAAGGACGCACACTGACTGTGAAGATACGAGCTAAATGAATAAAATATAACACGGAAATCATTCATTAAGAATCAGGGTTTTCTCTAATAAATGAAACGGATGTAACTTACTTCATTTTCATCAGGCTCAACTCCCGCTCTCGGCTCTCTGAAGTTGTCCCTCGTGTCTGCGCGGAGCCTCCGGACAGGTGCGGGTCTGTTTTTCCTCCGGGAGCCGTGGAACCGACCGGTCCTCGATCAGCGACAGAGGGGCTCAGGCTCTGACTTGTGTCCGTCCCGACCGCGGAGGAGAGAGGAGGTGAAGAGAGGAGGAACTGGGATGAAGGCAGTGTTAAAAGCCCCAACACCTCCCCACCACAACCACCACTCCTCCTCCTCCTCCTCCTGCCTGGAACATCATAATCCCTGATGAGGTAGAGGACACACAGAGGGGTGAACAAGTGAGGAATAAGGAGGGTGGTTATTAATTATCTCTGAATTATCTGTCAGTAAATGAAGAGCTAAGATGGCCGCAGCCTCAAACAGAGGTCCCCAAACTTGTATCATTAAATATGTGGAGATGTGTTGTACTTTGCCCTTCAACTGCCCTATTTTAGCCAAACAATAAATCACTATTAAAGCTGCAATAACTGACTTTTTAATGGCCACCAGGGGGCAGAGGAGATCCACAACAGGATGAATAGACGAGATGAATTATAAAGTGTGAGATGTCGCCTCTCTTGGACTGCTCACTGCCATTGAGCGCCACAGGGATGCAGGTATTTCTGTAGGCTAACCCGGATGTTAGCATCACCCTGGCTCCCTCAGCAAAAAGCCAATGGGATTTTTTAACACTGGCTTTTGGATTACTGCAAAAAACAAAAGTTTATGATACTGACCACACTTTGACGTTTCATCACTTTATGATGCTTGAAGCCTAAATACAATCGCCAGAAGTAACTAGAGTCACCTCCTAACGGTCGTATCCCTCCGCCACTCAGACAAGTTCCAGGTTACATCCCTGTTTATCCAGAGTCACGTAAAATATTCACCAATTGTGTGAAATTTTGTCATAATTGCTGAGTGAAGTCTTGAGTAATGGCTGAAAAGTGTTCTGCGACCTTTGTCCTTTGACCACCAAAATCTAACCACTTCACCCTTGAGTGCAAATGAACGTTGGTGCCAAAGGGAAAGGGATTCCCTTGAGGAGTTTTTGAGCTATTGTGTTCACAAGGCCAAAATCACGTTTTGTGGTCACCGTGAAATTGACCTCTGACCCTTGACCTTTAGCCACTAGGCCATTCAGTTCGTCCTTGAGTCCAAGTGACTGTTTTACCAAATTTGAAGAAATTCCCTCAAAGCGTTACAGAGATATTGCATTCACGAGGCCAAAACCATATTTTATGAGGTCACCACGACCTTGACCTTTGATCTTTGACCACCAAAATCTAATCAGTTCATCCTTGAGTCCAAGTGAATGTTTGTGCCAAATTCAAAGAAGCTCCTTGAATTTTTACTGAGATATCGGATCCACGATAACGGGACGGACGGACGAACAACCTGAAAACAACATGGCTCCAGCTCTGACTTTCGCCGGTGCAGAGGAATAATAAAAATCTTGATTAGTGGGCCTTTAAATTATAAATCAATCTATGCGCTCTATGAATCTTACAGTAGGGCTGTAATCGAGAACAGCTTTAACTCAGACTCAAGACGGTGGGAAACTAATTTGGTCAAACAAGATGAATCTACCGACGGGTCCCTGAATGCCCCGTGGAAATGACGCAACACCATAAACCATGAGGCAGAATTCGAGTTATGGCCCATTCAACGCTTGTTCGCTGAATTTTGTTATGCATTTTTAAATTGTCCTGAAACTTCATAAATCACAACTGAGACTTCTACCCCGGCGGTTTAAGACCCTCCGTGCTGCTGAACCTGCAGCCGACCCTCCCTGTGCTCAGTGTACGGACTGTATGTGTAAGGTTAACTAGCAATCTGCAAAATGGACAAATTCCTTATGGCTTGGCAGTGGGTAATAAAAACCGAATTATGCACATGTGGCTGATGCGGGGCCGTGACTAATGTGTGCGGTGTGTGATGTTGTGATGTGTGTGTGTGTGTGTGTGTGTGTGTGTGTGTGTGTGTGGGAAGGGTAATCTGCAGAGTCGAGCTCCCAATAACTTGACCCAGGGGGTAATAAAATCCATAAAATCCATATTGTGTTGCCTAATGAGGCCAACGGCGCTCTTTCAAGTATTTCAAGGCCTGATTAATACAGCAGGTGAACACTTAATCTTCTTTAACTTCAAATGTCGACAGTAATATTTAAATCAATAATGCAGAATTACAATTAAGAAAGGGAAAATTAAAAAAAGAAAGAAAGAAGGATCAAGCAAGTCAAAAGATGTTTCTCATTTTATAACCTGAGATGTGAAGGAGAAAGTTTTGTTTTTAACATATTAAACACAACACAGCCACAGAAGAAAATCCAAAGCCTCTTTTGGTTTTAAGCTCTGGCTTTCACTTATGGAGCTAATAACAAGGAATAAAATCAAATTATTCACATTATTGCCCATGCACAAGGAGATTAAGGAGGGATAAAGAGTATGGGATAATCTAGACTAGGGAATGGATTAAATCACATGTTGCTTTGCAGTATTTTTTTGCTCAACCTTGTCTCTAAGCCTGAAGCCCAGGGTTCCTGTAAAGGTGAGTGATGGCTGAAGGCCTCCGGGTGCTTCAGATGAAGTCTGTCCGATTGTGTAACAGCAACTTTGGAGTTTGTGTTTGAGAGTTTTATGTAACCGACTATCTGACAATCGTGTCGGCTTAACTGCAGCAACTAACCAGCTGTGCAGAGTCCAGCTCTCTTTGCATTCAAGGAGAGACTGACCTGGAGTCTGTGCCGTTTGTATGAATTATTGCATCCATGTACGCGTCATGTACGGCCTTTAAAAATAATAAACAGGCGACAATGCAATCACACAACCCGACTGATTATAAACATACTGAAACGTGAAACATCAAATCTACGAGATCATTCAATATCAGTGTGAAAATTTGGTGAAATCTTATCAATTAACCACCGTTATCCTTGTGTAACAACAACACAGTGGACCACACACACCAAAACCTGGCAAACTCACCATGTGCATTATTCCTTATCTGCACTTATTTCTTGACATATTTCAACATATTTTTATGTCTATTTGTACACACCACTTCTGGAACTTTGTGATGTCACAACAAAGCCGTCACCAAGCCCCGCCCACCTGGACCCACCATTCAAACCTTTACAGGATTTGGTTTTTAACCTGAAATCTGCTATATTTTTATTAGATCACTCAGAAAACAGTCAGCCAATCAGAAGAGAGGCTCAGAGCCTCCTCTCTTCTGATTGGCTCGCTGACCTGTTGTTACTAGAGCTCCAGAGAGAAGCCTGAGAGAGGAGATGTAAAACTACACTGAGATGGTTTTTGGTTCTTAAATCCACAAATATATCTTCTTATGGATCAACACTTCAAATAAAACACAGAAGAAGACGAAAATATGGCAGTTTAAAGGGTCAATACTGAGGGTAAATGAGAAAAATGTTCATTTATAATTTGGGTGAACTGATCCTTTTAAGCATTCAGCAGTGAACAGAGGGAAGAAGCTGCAAATCCAGTAGATTTAAAGCCTTTCTTCACTCGCTCTCTCCTTGTTAAAAAAGGCTTTTAATTATCAGCGAATTCCACTTTTCAACTGGTTCCAGATTTCTACTGTGCGGTTTTTTTCCCCGTCTTCTATTGAGAACCTGAAAACACTGTGGAGCTCACAGCTCAAGAATTTCCAGCACAGGAGACTCGGCTGCCTCCTCTGCCAGCTACTTAGACTGTGACCATCGGATGCTTTGGCATCCTCTGGTGTGACACTGTGGGTTTCAGCCGCCTGTTTGGTCCGCGGACAAAGAGCAGACACAGGACTTGTCTTTACCTCATTCTGCAAACTCTGGCAGGATACTGTTGAATTCATATCTTCTCTAACAAAGACCGAGGCTGCACAGATGCTCACTAATCTCACACTAACACCTCCCTCAAAAGTACTTGACACTTCCAGTCGTACCTGATTTAAACCCAGAACGTGCTGTAGTGTTGCCTGTGAGGCTTGGTCCCTCTTTAATCAGCTTCTCTGTGCCAGCAGCTGTGTCGACTCTGGCTTTTTTCAGGCAGGATGGCATGCTGTATAATTAATGTGCTGGTGTTGAATTCACGGCAGGGACACAGTGCTGATTTGCTCACCTTTAAGGACAAACACTTTGCCAGAGGAGACGGAAAGTGGAGCAGTGTGAGACTCTGGGAGAAACGTTGTGTTTACACCAAGTGTGCAAGACGACCGCCGGTGTCAGGCCTGAGAGGAGCAGAGCTGCTGATGCAGCTGATGAGCTCTGTGGAGAGAGAGAGGCCGGTCATGGAGAGAGCGGCAAATTAATACCAGACGAGTCCCGGTGGCTGTTTGTCCAATCAAACGTTCGATCCTGGTCTGCTGTCAAAAGAATGGTGAAAGTTTTGAGACATTGTAAATGTGGCAGGTGGAGAAAAGATCCCACACTGAGCTAAGGCCTTACAGAGGGTGGTATATTAAAAACTCTGACACGAGATCTGAGTGTCAGTATTGATACAAAAACATAACCAAGAGGGAAGATTTTAATGTCGACAGGATGGTGATGTGTGTCTGTTGGTCCAGACTGAAATATCTCAACTACAGGACGGATTGTGTTTTTAATGATGTTGTTTACAGACATTCATGTATCTTAATGTCTGACAAAGGGATTTATGACCAAATACCTAATGACGCTTCCATCAGCCTCAGGCTAGTTGTTTAATACTAAAGCTAGCATGCCAACACATGAAACTAAGATAATTACACCTGCTGAACATAATGTCAGTTATTATTTTACTGTGCTAGCTGGGCTGTAGCCTCCGAGCTTTGTTTTTACAACATCTCTCTTTTCATTAACATGAGAAACTTAAGTGCTCACATGTTAAACATTGTCTAAACAGAAGCAGCTGTAGCAGAACTTTGAATTTAAAACTGGGTTTAATGTGATTTAAATCAACAACTGATCCAAAGAAGAGCAGAAATCTAGAGGCAGATTTCAGCATCCGACAGGTTTTATGAACATGTCAGACTAAAAAAGGTTTTAAGATGAAATACTTACTGTTACAAGAGTTGAAAAATGATTTGAATTTTAAAGTTGTCACAAGAAGAAATAACATGTTGTTTTTGGATTTCTGATTGAAGACAATTCTTTGTATTTGACTTGAGT